ATATCAGATTGATAGCATGTAAGAGTAATATCATATAAGAGTAATATCATATCAGATAAATATCATATCAGATTAATACCATATCAGATTAATACCATATCAGAGTAGCATCATATAAGATTGCTAGCATATAAGAGTAATATCATATCAGATAAATATCATATCAGATTACTATCGCATCATAGTAACACCGTATCAGTAGCGAATGTAAAAGCTAATGTGTTTTTTTATAGTTTTTGTTCACGCCTGACCACGTGGATAAACTCCGCCACCAACTCTGCTGCTCCGTACTTTCAGGCTTCCATGCAAGCACAGGGACAGGAGGGACCCCTGGTGGACATAAACGGGTATGAGCCGGATACGGAGATGGAGACGTTTCAGGTGCAGCTAGCGAAGGATGAGGGCGGCCTGGGCATCACCATCGCTGGCTACATCGGTGAACGCGGTAAGCATCCTTCTCTCTCTCTCTCACACACACACACAGACACACACGCACGCACACAGCTAGCAAAGGATGAGGGCGGCCTGGGCATCACCATCGCTGGCTACATCGGTGAACGCGGTAAGCATCCTTCTCTCTCTCTCTCTCACACACACACACACTCAGACACACACGCACGCACACAGCTAGCAAAGGATGAGGGTGGCCTGGTTACATCGGTGAATGCGGTAAGCATCCTTCTCTCTCACACACACACATACACGTTCTTAGATAGACTAACCTTCTTTACGAGGTGCCATGACCCATGGCCAATGACTCATGACCAATGACCGATGACTCATGACCCATGACCAATAATCCATGACCCATGACCAATGCCCATGACCCAATGACCCATCACCAATGAATCATGACCAATGACCCACGATCATTGGAGAATCTATAGAGAGAAATAAAGACTATAAAATACAAGCATATAAGAGACTATAGCAGTCTGTTGACGTATCATGTGAACTTATACTGCTTCTTCGTTTCAGTTGAACACAGAATGGGCTCAAGTCGAGATCATAGACCTTGTCAACGATGGCTCAGGCCTGGGCTTCGGCATTGTTGGAGGCCGAAGTACGGGGGTCGTTGTCAAGACCATCCTACCAGGGGGCGTGGCGGACATGGTGAGTGACATATCCCTCTACGTTGACGATGTCTGCGACCAATGCTTAACCCGGCTTTGTGATGAATCGCAATTAACCACTGAACTTTGCCTGAACGGTATTTGTCAACGTGTAACTGTAAACGTGTCTGTATTCCCTCGTAACAGAGTAGTAGCAGCAGTACCACCCAAAGGTACTCCTCCGTAACAGCAGTACATATCGGAAGGGGTTCTTTGTTGCATAACCCTTGCGCATTAGATTTCGTCAACTCGCTCGTATGTTAACTGCGATACAACACCCGCTTTGTACCTTAACAACACATACACATAATATCAGGGGTTAATAATGACAAACGTTGTTTAAATTTGTCATTATTAACTCCTGATAATATACTCATGCTAGATACACACGGGGTACGTTCACTTTCGCCCCCCCCCTTGCGAGTTAAGTCGCTGTGATTTCCCCTCTAGTATTCATAGCGCGATATGTGCTATAACGTGCTGGGATGTAACGCGCATGCGCAGTGCGAGCGACCGCAGCGCCGCCACGTGCCTCAATCGATAATTTGCGAGCAGAAATATAATTACGGCATTCCCCGAGTGTTACGAAAACGAAGACCTCGAAAACGAAGACCCAAAAACGAAGACCCCCACAACCAGGCCATTAGTAGGCCTACCACAACATCGAGGAAGAGTCTGCTAGTGCCCTGACGTATAAAATATGGTATTTTGGCAGTTTGATGAGGGTCTTCGTTTTCGTAATTTGGGGGTCAAATCACGAAAACGAAGACCCCTCTAGATTTCATCGATAACGCAACGGATTCGCTCAAAAATACAGTACGAAGAACAGTCAGCCGAAGACTCATCATGCTTGCGGAAACACTGATTAATTTTGTCCTATTTTGATCAGCCGCCTTTCAGATCTAGACATACAAGAGTAATAATATAATAATGGCTTTATTGGCATCTTGTAACAACTATTTACATCAATATATTGATCCAATAAAGAAATATGGAAAAGAGTATATTGTGATGAAACACAAATTGAGCTCACTTTTAATAACGTTTATTATAAACTTGAATTCGAAACTAATCGAAGAGCTTCAACTAAGAACGATTGATTGAATGATTTTTGCACCGAAGGGATCTCACATTAAAAAGACAGTAACATATGTTGAAATCGTACAGGATTGAAATCCCTAATTTAATGAGAGCGTCCTCCAACATCATAACGCGCACTTTTATCAACATTCAAACCAAGTGCCTTATCGTACAACCTGGAGTTTTGCTTCAGTTATAAAACGTGCTGCTCAGTCGTGCAACGAGTTGAGCTTTATAAAGGCAGCGCCCTATTTTGTTTAGGCCATGTACGTGATTACTGGCCATACGCC